GACATCCAGGTATGAATGTTTCCACCAGCCTCTCAGACCTGGTTGATCGTATTGCTTCATCGTCCTCTCTGGACCCAGAACAAGCTTTATGTGTTCAAGTAAAGATCTTTCCTCTGCCCTTCATGAGCTCCAGTATTAAGCATCATTTAAAAGCCACAAACAGCCCGCTGACAGCCTGGTGGGTGAGTGCTACAACAATCAGATCACATAAAGAAAACATTTTTCATTGAAAAGGGATAAAAATGCAAGATGTTTATTTCATTTAAAGAAGTTGTAAATTTCTAGAATATCTGCAATCGATCATACAGGAAACTGGATGGAGAAATACCTACCTGGGGAACAAAATGTTGAAATGCGTGTGCCCCCACAGGGTTAACAAACATGTCTAAGCTATTTTTGAAATTGATGATCCAGTTTTCCTCCCAACTGTAACGTAGGAGCGAAATCTTTCCATCAATCCAAACATCTGGACACGAATATGCTGAAACGTCTTCACAGTGACACGTCTGGCTGCTTCCCTCAGGGGCGGAGGACTGCTGTGTGGGTGGGGGGGCCTGGGTGCTCACACACAGTCATACAACACATAACTCGCACACAGGATGTACGGCCATTCACACGGCTTTCGTGGCTGTACTGCGCAGCAGCCCTCCCCTCCTTTTTAATTAAACTGGGACTACTGGGGGGTCCACAGCTCGACTAACATGTCCAGTGTTGCTATTTTCACAGCTGTTACAATAAAGTTTAATGTCCATTTAAAAAAGTTGAGTTAGCTGTTAGCATGACTCGACTTGCTAGTTTCTGTGTAAAGATGATGATTAAAATGTAGACCTGTGCTAAAAGCTGAGCCTGGGACAGACAGATGTGCACAGGGATGAGGCTTCAGTTGTTCTCAAGGAAAGTTCAAGTTCAAAGACCCCGACAGGCAGAGACAAAAACCTCTGAGATATTCCATTGTATCGTACCGTTGCTGTGTGGTTTGCTCTGATAATAAGTCTTAATGAGCCCAGGAGTCACTGCTGTCTGAAGCATTCAAACACAGAGTGTGTCTGTGACGTGTGAAGGTTAAAACGTGCTTTTTCATGCACAGTGCTGATTAAAAACCTGGCTGAGCATTAGGAGTGCAACGATACTCGTATCGATATTGAACCGTTCATACAGTGCTTTCGGTTCGGTACGCATATGTATGAACAATACAACATTTTTAATTTATTTTATCAAATTTCCGTCTGACGGTGCTGTCTGTGTTGAGCGCTCAGTGGATCTGCGCTCGACAGTGCAGCCTAGGCGGAGTAGTCGAACACAGATTCACTGAGCGCAGGGCAAGCTAGCGAGACAGAAGCTAAGCTAGTTGCAACATGGCAAATTGAACCTCCCCCACCCTCATTCAGATCTGGCCTTTGGAACTATTTTGGTTTTCATGTGACGTATGACCCTGAAGGTAAGCGCGTCATGGACTAAAGTAAAACAGTATGTTGGATGTGCCAGCAATGCTCAATTACATGGGTGGGAACTAGTGTGTTAGCGCAGTTAGCTCGTTAACGTGTTGGCCGTCCAGCCCCACGCACGGAGCGATCCGCGGTAGCTCGTTAACGGAGATTTGCCGTGTTGTGGCGTTAACGTCATTTCAGATTAACACTGACAGCACTAGTGGGAACACAACGAATATGACTGCACATTTACTCCGACATCATCCTCGTGCAAAGACAAGTGGAAGCAGACAAAAACAACAAGCACGCATGCTACAAACTTTACCCGAGTCATTTAGACAGCCGTTAGCACATGATTCTCCTTATGGGGACCTGATATGTTTAATATGCTGCTGAGAATATAGCCCAGAAGAAGCGTATAGTAGAGCTTTTATTTTGGAAAGAGACATTTCTCTGTAATAAACTCTCTTTTCCAAAGATGAGGGATTTCTCCATCAGATAGATTTATTTATTACTTTGTTGTTTCAGCAACATTAAATTTAAAAACTGTACTTTTGAGTTAAAATATATATTTATAATTTTAATCAATGACAAATTAACCTCTTAAGCCCCAAGCCTAACTGATCTCCTGCCTTTTGCCCCCGTATCAGGGGGCGTTGGGGCTTAAGAGGTTAAAAAAGCATGAACATTTTTTGTATCAAAAAAATATCGAACCGTGAATTTTGTGTATCGTTGCACCCCTACTGAGCATGATGGCTGAAAAGATTTGTGAGAGCAGTGAAGCTCATGCGTTCCCTTCTCTTCGCTCAGATGGTTCAGGCTGTGGTGGAGTATGGTGGGAAGAGAATCAGAGGAAGTGACCTCATCACACCCACAGACGCGGTCTCCATCACCAAACAGTTCTTCAAAGGACTAAAGGTACAAACAAACACACGACACAACCTCTTCAGCACAAAAGGTTTGATAAACGTCGTCATTGTTATTTGATGAATCAGGTTTAGACTGTTGACTTTTTTCTAGTGTGCCTCCATGATCTCACCTGCACTTTTAAAAGTACGATGTGTCTGTGTGTGTGTGTGTGTGTGTTGTCAGGGTGTGGAGAACGTGTACACTCAGCATCAGCCTCTGCTTCACGACACGCTGGACCAGATGATCAAAGGTCGACTCAAGGACAGCCAGTTTCCTTACCTGGGAGCCAGCAGCCTCAGAGACAGGTAGAGCTCACCTGAGAGACTCAGACACAGAGAGGAGACGCTGACATGATTCACACCTGTGCATCTGTTTCAGGCCTCAGGACATCCTGGTGTTCATGATCGGTGGGGCCACGTATGAAGAAGCTCTGACTGTTTACAATCTGAACCGCAGCACGCCTGGAGTCCGGATCGTGCTGGGAGGAAGCAACATCCACAACACCAAGAGGTCACACACACACACACACACACACTCAAATATAGACACAAAGACCATTTGACCATGTGACAGTTATAACCTTCGTAAAAACAGAGGCCACACACACACTCTGTACTGTTTGGTTCGACTCGTGTTGATAAAGGTCAGCCGCTCCAGTCAAACAGATGAAGGCTCAGTACTCAGTTTGGTTTTCTGCGTCACTAACAGTTTGTTTGCAGATAACAGGAGGGCAGCAGCTGAAATACTGAGATTCTTTGAGTAAAAGCAAAAGGAAAAAGGACCCATAATCGATCCCTGAGGAACTCCAAATTCATTTTAGCAGGGTGCAGCGTATTTCATTATAAGGAAGAATCTCAACGAATCGTCGATTCACAGATGTCACGCTGTCATGTTGTGCAGGCTGAGAACATCAGAAACATCCTGACTTGTTGGTCTTTGGCTTCAGTTAAATTCAAAGGTTATTTCTTCATGTTCACAGCTTTAGTTCATCCTGGAAGTTTGAAAACTATATTTAGGCCAAAGAATTCACGGTAAATGAACCATGTGAATCTACTTTCACAGTAATCCAAACGTCTGTGGGGAAATAAGAGCTCGCCACAAGTGACGCCATCGTCAGCATTATCCTAAAAACACAATGTTTTCACTTTGTATTACTTTCTCCACTTCAGCTGTCTTCACCTCCGTCTGTTTCTTTGTCCATCAGCTTTCTGGAGGAAGTGATGTCAGCGACAGGTCACAGCGGCAGCAGCAGCAGCCGAGCACATGGAGGCGGTTTCCATAGCAGCAGGCACTAAGCACAGAGACTTCTTCCTCTCCTCAGCTCTTGTGTGATGAGCAGCATCGTTCCCTCTGTCTGTTTGTTTGAAATGTTGGACACTTCTGTGAGCGGACATCATCAGACCGTCCCCGTGACATTAGAAACACCTCTGATCAATAACTGTAACAGCCGAGCTGATCAATAACTGTAACAGCTGATCAGCTCTGCCGCTGCACGGCTCAGACTGGACTCCGCTTTAGTGTCGCTTTAAAATAAAAGATGTGAATAAAAAAGATATTGTCTTTTAAAATGAAAAGAT